TTAAGAATAATAATAATTACTATTTAAAATTAATTATAGTGTTAAACTGACCTTCATTACAGCATCCCTTGTGGAAACGCTGTTGAACATATCTCCTCAACATGCTTCATTCCTTTAATTATATCCAAGGAAGATCTTATGATAAGCTCAAAGAAAATTTTGCATGCGTGGGTTTTGAAAATTATATAATTCAAATGATTAATGGGTTAAGGTGCAAATTTACTTTCAAGTGCAAAACAACCTGTGAAAGTTCAAAATAAGAGCAAAAATGACATCGCTGTTGACTAGGTCATATGTCAAAAGATCTTTCTACAGTGGTTCGGAAAAGAATATTTCACCGACTCTATAACAGTGTAGATATTAGTAATACACAGGCGCAGAAAATGAATTTTCTATACCAATTGTTGTTAACTAATTTAGAAAAGGCTCAACCAAAAAGAAAAGAAGAATCCTCCTCACTTTCTACACAGGTTGTAATGTGTGTAGAAAGTGTTTATATGTCAAACATGTGCGCCTGTAGCCGTGTGTACCTGGACAGGATAATGCATGTTGTATCACTTGTGGCAAGTCAAAGTAATGCCTGAATTGAAGGATACTTGGAAATGACCATTTTGAGGCTTTGGCCAATGCCACCACCCACATCAACAAGTGTTATTCCCTCAAATCCTTTGTATGTCTCAAGTACATACTTCATCATCATGGTTGACAAACAGCCATTGCACCGCCCATGAAAAATAGTTTTGAAAGTTGGATCCATTTCCATATATTCATACATAGGCATCCAATGAAATTTCTTGAACAGGTCCTCTTCCTCATCAAGAATCACTTGCTTGAAGTTTTGCCTGGCATCATGTGTACAAAACATGAAAAGATAAACACAAATGGTGATTATGAATCAAAACATGAAAGCCTACCAATTTTTACGTAGGCGGGATGATTACATAATTTGAAGAATACAATGCTGGAGGTTTCATCTTCATCTGGGATTAAGCATTTACCACTTGGAGATAGACCATAAAACCTCCTTCCTGCCGTGTTGATCAATTTGTTGGAAGAACAACTCAAGAGAGAGTAATTAGAAAGCAAAAACAACATTCGGTCAAGCCGACGAGCCATGCCAGCATATGGATTTTCGAGCTTGGAAGCGATTTTAGAGGGAGACATGCCTTCAGGGCTTCCTTTACCAATGATCTCAAACAAGTTCAGATCAATAGCAGCATTTAACACTGCAAGGTAAATGGGATCAGACGCCAACACCAGAGGATTTAAAGAGGAATTAGAATCATATTCATGATTCTCAATGTTGGTACTCATAGTTGCTACAGCTTCTTCTTGTTGTAGATAGACTCTCTAGTAGTAACTACGGAGGATGATAGAGCAAACTTAGAATCTAAAAGTTCTCACTGCCTGATTTTCTAGGTCTAGTTATGTTGGTATTTATACGGTGTAATTGAATAGTGAGACCCTGCGTTATTGCATTGAGTCCTAATACAAGTTATACCATTATGATGCTGACAACAGGACAACTTTATATAAATTTTTTTAAAAATATAGTATAAATTTGACCTTTGACAATTGAAGTCTTTTGTGATATTGAATGTAATAGCAACAACGCATTTATCGGTGAAAATTATTTAGAATAAAAAACAAACGATAAATGTTCGCTTTGAAAATTTGTACAATTTTGATTCTTTTATAGCAAAGTCGCATGAGTTCAATAAAATTGTATAATTTAAATTCTTCCATGGGCATGGAGCAGATAATAGGCGGAAGTATCAACCTATATATCTGTGTGCGTATATTATATGCAATATAGAATTCATCAAAGTGATCACATTCTGATAGTTTAATTAATAGTACGTAAAACTTCAAATTTTATAAAATAATTCTTTTAAGGATAGACACCCATGCATGATCAAGACAAGAAAAAATATAAATATATTTTCGCATCCATATTTTCTGACTTTAATTTTTTGATGTAGTTTGCCAGTTAATTGGAAGCGATTCTGATTTTTTTTTTTTTTTTGATAAAGTGGAAGCTATTCTAATGTATAAGTTTGTACTATTGTGCAATTCAATTACTAAGAACTTCAGTGAGGGTGTATAACTATTTACAGTCTTTATAACACTAAATGTAGAAGCTGGTTGAAAAACTCATTTGGTCTACGTTATAGGACCGTAATCTTTTTATATATCTCATTAATTAATTTTTTCTCAAATTATCCTATTCATTATGATTTCTTTTAAAATTTCATATTGAAATCTCAATCATTAAAAGTTAAAATTAGGGTCATTTAGGACCTATCCAATACATAAAATTTAAATATATTATATCCATTACTTGAAAATAACTTACTATTACGGAAATTGGGTCTTCGGAGTTTGAGAAAACATCATCATCATACGACACACACATAAATGATGCAGCAAAAATCGGTCAATTTGGATCGCATTTTATTATAATTATTTTGTGGATGTGGGTCAAAATTTCCCCAAGCAAAAAGGGGGGGAAACAATATAATTCAAAGGAAAAATATTTTTTCTAATGATTATAATTTTAATATGGTCAAAGACTCAAGGGTAAGCCTTTCGTGTCGGAATGTTTTATTTACTTTTTGTTTTAAATTTTACAAGAATCTGGATTCTAAAAATTGTGATAGTGATAACATTTTCAAGTGCCTTTACAAAAATTTTACAAGAAATGAAATCTTTTTTATTATTTTATTTTTTTTAAAAGTGAAATCTTTGTTATTTACTAAAAAACTTAAGAGATACGGATAGAAATAAAGAATATGATGACGATAATATCCGCCAACATTATTAAATTGTCGTTTATCTTTTTTCAGCTCATGCACGCGCGCACGCACACATATATGTATGTTATTACTATTACTTAGATAATAGTATTTGGATAGGCAGAAAAGGAAAATTATATTACCTCCAATTCTTAATATAAGAGCCAGCTAATTAATTTAGAGATATCAAGAAATTAATTAATAAATTATTTATAACAACATATATGGACTTCTCCAATTTGCCATATTTAATCTTGTGTATTGAAATAATCATAGGATATTTTTGGGGGAAAATTATAAATTTAAGAGACAAATCAGATTAAAGTTTTATATTTAGGTTTAAATATAATCCCCTACTAACTCTCATATCATAAACTAAAGGTAGTAACAGGCAAAATCTTACAAAACGAGAAAGAATATTTGCAACTTCATTGATCCGCTGGGAATTCAAAAGGGACTGCCAGATTTGCTGTTGGCTTTCATTATATTGTAAGGGTTAATATGCAAATTTGTTTAGGAAGTTTTTACTTAGAAGTTTTGGGTATCTAGAAGTTTATTTTGGTAACAAATTTGCTTTGAAAGTTTAAAATCACAATAATATCGTCCCCTACAATAAAAAAACTAATATTGATTGTTAAAATAATAACACTAACTATTAATATTTTTAACAGTATAAGACAATAGTGTTACAATTTTAATGGTATAGAACAAATTTGCTTCTAAAAAAACTTTCGGATATCTAATCCTATTGAGTGACAACTTATATGGCAAATTTATACCTTAACCCTATATATTATGCATACTTATGTTATTTACCCAAGGGTTGATATAATTTTTGGTCCCTCAAGTTTATTCTTATTTTGGTTTTGGTCCCTTAAATTTCAAACCATAGCTTTTGGTTTCTTAAATTTCTTTTCGTCTAAAATATTGGTCCCTATAATTTAATAAATACCTAGACTATTTTACCTCTTAAGAGATCAAAAACTATGATTTAAAACTTAAGGGACCAAAATCAAAATGAAAGTAAACTGGGTCAATGATTATATTTGCCCTTTACACAAACTAAAAATTCTTCGTGCATGGAAATATTTTAATTTTCTGGAACACATATAATTCGGAAAAAGATATACAAAATTTATCAATATGAAAAGTCAGTTAATTGTTAATAAACAATAAAAAATAATTTATTCATTCACCAAAAAAATAATTTATTCTATACGTTGTCACATCATAGATAATTAGATAGTCAATGAATCCTAATGGATTACTTTAATTTTAAAACATACATTATGGAGTCTATTTAATAAATATTATGTCATCACAAGGTTTTATTTGAAATATCTCTTCATATTTTATTAAAAGATGATATTCTCGTGTTCTTTTGTTTTTTTTTTTTTTTTGACCTCAATGGCATTCTCGCGTTCATGGTTACGATTAGTAGTATTTTTTTTACTAAATATTCAAAAACAAAAAATATAATATAGTGATGGGAAGAGAGAGAAACAAAATTAAATTTAAAATAATTCAAAATTCTCTACGAAATGAACACTTGTCATCTGAAATTTAACAAGGCATGAAATTAGTGTGACAATATGACATTCAAATATTCAATCTTCCGTGAAACATTTTTGGTAAAAAAAAAGAGAAAATCGCAATTAAAGACTCTAGAATTTGAAAAACATAGATAGAGATCCATAACAACTTCACTATGGCTTTTGACAATAATAATATGTCATGAACTTGTCAAAATCCATAATGAGATTGTCACGGGTCTTTATCTGTGTTTTTCAAATTCTAGAGTCTTTTTTTGCAGTTTCTCCAAAAAAAAAAAATCTTGCGTGAAACATAGTTTAAAATATCAAGCCACATGAAAATCAGAAAATGTGAAATATTCATTAGTTGGCCCAAAATTTTTAATAGTTGTACTTTTTTTTCAAAAATAACCAATAATTCAATAATGTCTAATAAACTCCTACAATTCAAGATATGAGGTTTGAAGTTAAAAAAAAAAAAAGACTTGTATTTAGGGATCACGATGTCAGTTAGAAGATAGTATCATAGTATCATGTTATGGTGAAAAAAGGCACATTTTTCCTTAAAAATATTTTTGTGGATACGTTGCGATCCAAAAATTTAAAATAGACTAGCTACGCCCAGATAAAGGTATTAATATTTCCTCATCATACTATAAATAATTTAGTTGAGGCTCTATTGATTTTTTCCCCTATAAGCATAGATATACTCCTATTAGATATAATCTTATTCAAGACACTACTCGACTAAATGTGAGCACATTTCTCAGTGGGAATTTGAACTTTGATTCATTACATTATGAGAGATTAGTCCTTTTCACTAGACTTAAGTGCTGTTTGTTGAGGTTCTCTCTTTGTTGATGAGATGATTTTAGAAGTCATATTCTTTTTTTTTTTGCTAAAACATAGGTACCCTCCTATTAGAGGTAATTATATTCGAGACACTATCAGGCACTAAATGTGGGCACCTCTCCTAGTAGGGATTCGAATCTTAGTTTACCACGTTGTGGGAGACTAGCCTTTTTCGTTAGACCCAATCCCTGTTGGTTAGAAGTCATATTTCTTTCGGCTTGGTGATACAGTTGGGAACCAGAACTAGCCCACTTTGGGCGTAGTGAAAAATGGGGCAAGGTGAGTTGATTAAGATTTTATCAACTTTGGCTAGCCCACTTTTCCTTATCCATATCTAGTACCAGATAGTACTTTAAATATAATTGTCTTTGACACATGTACTTATAAAATTCACCACGAAATCCAATTCCTCAAAACATGAAAGGATTAGATTTGGAAAAAAAAAAAAACATTTATGAACAAGGCCAGTTTCATTTTCAATATAATTTTGTTTTCTGATTTTACTAAACGTATTGAAAAAATATCTTTACAGTACACATCAATCTTTATGGGGTAGCAATACATGATAGAACTGCAATATGACATATAAAAATACCAGCAATGTTTTTTTTTTTTTTAACAGTCAGTGAGCAAATGAGTTTCATATTTATAATTTTATACCTACCCATTCCATACAAAAAGGGCTTCCCTTAGGCTTTGAGAATACATATATACACACACATATCCTCAGGAGTCAGGGTATATAATTTATCATTGTACTGATAAACTAGATTTAAAAACAATTTTTTGTTTTGATATTTTTTTTGCCTCAAATACATGAAATAGAATATACGTAAGATAAAGATAATTACTCAAGCATGAATTAAACAAAAGGCATACTTGTTAGAAGTAAAAACCATTTAAAAATGTATTGAGAAGATAACTTACTTTTTCTTGCAGCACGCATCGTCCGTTCTGTTGGCACTTGATGTGTTTGTAGTTAGTCAAGTTGCTTAGGATTGCCAGCAATGCCTCTGCTTGGAAAAAAAAACCCACCAATGCCATCCATTCCGTATCAAAAGGGCTTCCCTTAGGTTTTGAAGAATACACACAGAGACACACACACACGCGCGCACTCAGGGTGCATAATTATCATTGTACTGATAAATACAATGATAAACTATAAAATAAAAATTATTAAAAAAACAATTTTTATATTATTTTTGCATCAAATACATGAAATAGAATCTACATAAGATAAAGATAATTAATTGAGTATGAATTAACAAGCATATTTGTTAGCTGGTTAAAAAAAAAGCATATTTGTTAATAAATAAAAATCTTTAAAGATTTATTGAGAAGATAACGCACCCCATCACATGTTACTTTTTCTTGCAGTTCAGATCATCCATTTTGTTTGGCACTCGACGTGCTTGCAGTTAGTCAAGTTACGTTGGATGCAAAGTTTGTGAATTCGTCACCCATGACCTCATGGATTTTCGGGCATATGGCATGTTTGGATTCAGACTTGATGGATAGATGTACCACCTCATATCCTTAATATAAGAGCTAATTGATTAATTTGAGTAGATTAAGAAAATAAGTTAAATTAGTTATTTATAATAAATGGGTGTTATCTTTCCTAAAATATCTTGACTATAACTATTATTTGTAAAAAAATAAATATGATAAACAAAGTGAATTGTGATATTATATTTAGGATTAAAATAAAAGTCAAATAAATTCTCATAGTAAGCTCCGGGGTTAGTAAATTATATGTCCATGCTTTTCCTAGCTAGAAGCGGATGTAGGAGAGTAACCAGGGATACTTCCGATCATCGTTGGATATGTGGCTCTAGTCTCAAAATCACCTCAATTCCTTCTGCCATTGCGGAATTGAATGGATTATTTTATGTCTATGCTGATCCAAAAAACGTGGAAACATAATCCTTCACGCTAATTGCAATGAAGCCATTAGCTTAGTCAAAAGGGGGAACGATGAAAACAACTCCTTTAGAGATATTATTGAAGATGTTAGATTACTTGCTCATAGAAATTGAAAAGTACTGCCTCCAAATTATAAAACCTCATTTGTAATTTACAAATAAGATTTTATAATTAAAACTGGAGGTATTATTATCTAGACATAAATAAAAGGAGTTTCTAGGTGATTTTGATTCTTTAGCAAAATTCCCCCATTTTATGGAAAATTCCTTTTGTATTCTTGATCAATCACCACTTTCTTTGGCAAAAGTTTGAGGTAGATGAAATAATGACTACAAAAAATAAGACTTTTTGTGACAAATAAAAAAGTTACAGATCAAAGTGTAACTTTTCAGTCGCCGCTCAAAGTATGTCTTTTAGAATAACTTTCAGTGGCAACTTATTTGTTGCTATTGAAAGTAAGACTTTCAGCAGCAACTCTAGAAAATCACCCTAAAAGTTTGTCTTTTAGTGATAATTGTTTTAATCGCTGCTGAAAATATGATCTTCAATGGCAACTTTTTCAAGTTGCTCTTGAACGTCTCACATTCAGTGGTGCTTCTAACAAGTCATTGCTGAAGAACAGACTTTTAGTGGCAACATTTTATATCACTGCCAAAAGATTGTAAAGGGCCGACTGTCATTAGTGATCGTATTTACATTTATTGTTTTTAATTTTGGCTAAAGTATACATTTGGTCTTTTAACTTTATGTAAAGTTTCAGTTTAGTCCATTAACTTTAAAAAATATACTTTTAGTCCTTTAACTCCAAAATTGTTAGTCTTAAATGATGATTTTTTGTAACAATCATGGTTGTTTTGAATATTAAACTTAATATATTAGTATTTAGTACTGTTTTATCAGCATTTAAAAACTTAATATCATCATTTTTTGTTAACAGTTTTATGGTTAAAAGACTAAAAGTTTACTTTTTTAAGTTAAGAGACTAAAATGAAACCTTGTATAAAGTTAAAGGACTAAAAGTATACTTTAGCCTTTAATTTTTTATCCAAATTGCTTTGTCTTACTTATAAATTAAATTGATATATAATATGATAATACATATAATTATTTTAGAGAAATCACATAACATGTGCTATAATTAAGTAATAGAGTAATTCTTTTAATCTTCTCATATTAATCAACTGAGTCTTATATTAAGGACTAGATATAGTATTGCACACATATTTCATTCCTTAGTCATAAATTATTATATTCAAATGTTACATCACCCTTTATTTATTCTATATATAACATAAACCGCACATACCTTGTCACATGCATTATTCATAAACCATCTATATGTGTGTGTGTGTGTGTAAATAGTGTGACTCTCTTTAGACTCGGATCCGTACAAAGAAACATGACGACAATCTAGTTTATTTATAAAACTCAATGACTCCCAAAGCAGTGGAGGCAACACGAGCTGCAATACGGTAGCTAGAAAAGCCACTATCTTTGCAAAGAGCTTCAAATTTTTCCTCTGTTCTTTCCTTCCCACCAGGTTGCACAAGCATGAGGTTGTCAGCAATTGATACATGCTTATGGCCGTCGCTTCCGTTTGGTAATTCTGGCATTAGAAGGTCAATAATAATAAGCTTTCCTTCATTTTTGAGAGATATGTGGCAGTTTCTTAATATTTGAATGCAGGTTTCATCTCCCCAGTTATGAGTTATAAACTGCAAGAGATTAAACATATAGCTTACCATTAGCAAAACCTAGGAATAATAATTAATTACTCTGTAAAATTATTTGTAGTGTCTAACTGACCTTCATCATTATAGCATCACCTTGTGGAACGCTTTTGAACATATCTCCTCCAACATGCTTCATTCCTTTAATTACCCAAAGATCTTATGGTAAGCTCAAGGAAAAATTTTGAGTGCATGAGTTTTGAAAATTACATAATTCAATTGATTAATACGTTAAGGTGCAAATTTTTTCATAAAATTAGATTCAATATGCGTCAAACACCATATACTTTTGTCAAATGCAAAACTACCCGTAAAAGGTTAAAATAAGAGCAAAAATGAGAATGCCATTAACTATGTCATATGTCAAAAGTTCTTTTTACAGTGGTCTGGATAAGAATTTTTACACCCATTCTATAACCAATGTAGATATATAGTTAATATGCACAGGCGCAGAAAATGATTTTTCTCCACCATTTGCTAACTAATTTAGAAAAGGCTAACCAAAAAGCAAACATAAAAAATGAAAATGACAAAAAGAAGGCTGAAATTGTGATTTCCAAATTCAGGAAGCTACGAGTCATAAATAACATAAAAGGAAGTAAACTCAAATTGAAATTTTAAAATAAAATAAAAAAGAAAAAAAAATACCCCTTTGAAATTCAAGGAAGAAAAATCCTCCTCATTTTCTACACAGGTTGTAATGCGTAGAAAGTGTTTATATGTCAAACATGTGCGCCTGTAGCCGTGTGTACCTGGACAGGATAATGCATGTTGTATCACTTGTGGCAAGTCAAGGTTAATGCCCTGAATTGAAGGATACTTGGAAATGATCATTTTGAGGCTTTGGCCAATGCCATTACCCACATCAACAAGTGTTGATATTCCCTCAAATCCTTTGTAAGTCGCAAGTACATACTTCATCATCATGGTTGACAAATCAGCCATTGCCCTGTGAAAAGCAGTTTTGAATGTTGGGTCCATTTCCATATATTCATACACAGGCATCCCATGAACTTTCTTGAACAGGTCCTCTTCCTCATCAAGAATCACTTGCTTGAAGTTTTTCCTGGCATCATATATACAAAACATGAAACGGATAAACACAAATTGGTGATTATGAATCAAAACATGAAATGCTTACCAAATTTTTACGTAGGCGGGATGATTACATAATTTGAAGAATACAATGCTGGAGGTTTCATCTTCATCGGGGATTAAGTATTTACCGCTAGGAGATAGAGCATAAAACCTCTCATTAAGTTTGTTGGAAGAACAAGTCAAGAGAGAATAATTAGAAAGCAAAAACAACATTCGGTCAAGCCGACGAGCCATGCCCGCATATGGATTTTCGAGCTTGGAAGCAATTTCAGAGGGGGACATGCCTTTGGGGTTTCCCTTACCAATTATCTCAAACAAGTTCAACTCAATAGCAGCATTTAACACTGCAAGGTAAATGGGATCAGATGCCAACAACAAAGAATTTAAAGAGGAACTAGAATCATATTCATGATTCTCAATCTTGGTACTCATAATTGCTATAGCTTCTTTTTGTTGTAGATAGTCTCTCCAGTAGCAACTATGGAGGATGAAAGGGCAAACTTTTAATCTAAAAGTTCCCACTGCCTGATTTTCTAGGTCTAGTTAAGGTGGTATTTATATGGCGTAATTAAATGGTGAGACCCTGCATTATTGCATTGAATCCTAATACAAGCTATACTCATGTGATGTCAACGGTACAACTTCTTATAAATTTTTTAAAAATATAGTATAAATCTGACCGTTGACCATTGACATATTTTGTGATATTAAATATAAGCAACGGATTTATCGTTGAAATTTATATTTAGAACAAAAAACAAGCTGCTAAACGTGGGGTTTGAAAAATTGTACAATTTATGATTCTCTTACAAGCAAAGTTTTATGAGTTCAATAAAATTGTATAATTTATAATTCTTCTATTGGGCATGAAGCAGATAATTTAATTGGCAGAAGTATCAACCTATATGTCGATCATTCTTGATAATTGATTAGTGGTAAGTCAAACTTCAAATTTTATAAAAGATTAATTTTAAGGATAGACACACATTCATGCTCAGGACGAAAAAATATTAACATATTTTTGCATGCATATTTTGTGACTTTCATTTTTTTTTTTTGATGTAGTTTGCCAGTTAATTGGAAGAGATTCTTTTTTGTTTTTTTTTGTTTTGGTGTGGATAAAGTGGAAGCTATTCTAATTTATAATTTTTTTTACTAGTGTTCAATTCAATTACTAAGAACTTTACTGAGTGTGTATAACTATTTACACTCTTAACACTTTTGAAACATCATCAATTCATCATCATACAAAACACACACTCACACAGACATGACATGAAAATCTTTTTTATTATTTTATTTTTTTTAAAGTGAAATATTCTTTATTTGCTAAAAAGCTTAAGCGATAATATCAAAATCTTCAACTATTATATAAAAAAAATCTAAATATTTAGTAAGGATAGAAATAAAAAATATGATGAGAATAATATCCACCAATATTATTAAATTGTCTTTTATCTTTTTTCAGCTCATATATACATATATATATATATATATGCACACACACACACAATTATTATTACTACTACTTAAGTAATAGTATTTGGGTGGGAAGAAATGGAAAATAGTATTACCTTCGATCTTTAATATAAAAGTTATATAACTAATTTAAGGATATCAAGAAGATTAATTAAATCTGTTATTTGTAACAAATATATATGGACTTTCCTAAGCTATTATATTTAATCATGCGTATTAAAATTATCATAGCACAATTTGGGGGTGGAGGAATTATAAATTTAAGAGACAAATTAGATTAAGATCTTATATTTAAGACTAAATCAAACTCCTAGCTAATTTTTACATCAAAAACTTGAGGTAGTAATAAGCTAGATCTTACAAAACGAGAGGGAATATTTGCCACTTTATCAATCTGCTGGCGATTTCAAAAGGGATTGCTAGATCTGTTTTTGGCTTTCATGATATATATCATGGGTAGTTATGTTATTTACACAAGAGTTAATACAATTTTTGGTTCCTTAGTTTTCATAAGTTTGGTCACTCAAATTTCTTTTGGTTTGAAATATTGATCCCTATAATTTAATAAATATCTGAATCATTTTGCTCTTTGAAGGACCAAAACCAAAATGAGGGTTAATTTGAAGGATCAAATATTATATTAATCCTTTACACAAACTAGAAGTTCTTCAGGCATGGAAATATTTTAATTTTTTGAAACACATATAATTCGGAGAAAGATATTCAAAATTTATCAATCTGAAAAGTCAGTTAATTATTAATAACTAATAAAAATAATTCATTTATTGACCAACAAAATAATTTATTTTATGCGGCGTCATATCATAGATAAATAGATAATCAATGAATCGTAATGGATTATTTTAATTTTAAAACATACATTATTGAGTCTATATTTAATAAATATTATGTCATTACAGGGTTATATTCCAAATATGTCCCATATTTTATTAAAACATGATATTCTCGTGTTCTTTGTTTCGGAGTTCATTGGTATTCTCGTGTTCGTAGTCACACCATTATTGGTAATTTTTTTGACTAAGTATTCAAAGAGAAATAAAATATAATATAGTGGTGGGAAGAGAGAGAATGAGTGGAAGAAAATTAAATTTAAAATAATTCAAAATTCTCTATCAAATGAACGCTTGTCATCTGGAATTTAATCATGCATGAAACATAATTTAAAATATCAAGCCACATGAAAATTAGAAAATTTAAAATATTCATTAGTTGGCCCAAAAATTTCTAATATTTATACCTTTTTTCAAAAATAACCAATAATCCAATAATATCTAATAAACCCAATTAATTCAAAGTATACAACTAAAGATATGAGGTTTTGAAGTTAAGGAAAAAAAAGTTGTATTTAGAGATCACAATGTTAGTCAGAAGATATCATAATATCATGTTATAGTGAAAAGCTAGGAAAAAAATCAGACCAAACCGGTTCATTCAACCAAAAAAATCAGTGAATCAGCCAATGGCCCAATTTAGTTTGGCTGTTGAATCAGATAGGAGTCGAACTCGTAGTGAACTAGTCAAACCGGAGTGAACAGGTAAAAACCAATGTGAATCGGTGATGAACCGGTTCCATTGGTCTTATTTTGTTCATTCAATTCTTAATATCTTAGTCACTGTAAATTTGAGTGAATTTTAATGATAATTTTGGTATTAATAATTATTAATTTTAGTTAGTGATGAATTATAAAGATCAAAATTCTCAATGTTATTCTACTTTGTTATTTTGATATTTAAACTATTATTATATTTTCTTATATTTTGTCATTACTTATTAGTGATTATTAACGTTCTTAAATTTTGTTATTTTCAGTTAAATTGTATTATTCTAATATGGCCGGTTTGATCTCGAGTTGATTCTGTTCTGATCAATTAATCCTTGAACGACTATCTCAACCAATTTAATTTCCTGTCCTTTTTTTTTTTTTGGTTCCTTAGTGAAAAAAAGCACTTTTTTCGCTAAAAATATTTCTGTGGGGATTTTTTTTTTACCCTGCCATAATATCACGTTAGCAAGCAATGTGCCGGTAAGTTTATTATCAATTCGAAAAATACGTTGTGATCCAAAAATTTAAAACAGACTAGCTCTACCCAGATAAAGGTATTAATATTTTCCCATCATAACATAAATAATTTAGCTGAGGGTCTATTGATTTGTTTCTAAACATAGGTATGCTCCTATTGGAAGTAATTCTATTTAAAATATTATTGGGTACTAAATATAAACACCTCTTCCAATTAAAATTTGAACTTTAATTCGTCTTATCATGAGAGACTAACCTTTTTAACTAAACCCAAGGCATTTTTGTTGAGGTTTTATTGATGACCATGTTGGAAGTCAGATTTCTTTCGGCTTGGCGATATAACTGAGAACTGGAACCGGCCCACTTTGGGCCTAGGGAAAAATGGGGCAAGTTGAGTTAATTAAGATTTTATCAACTGTGGTGGGTCATGGCAGCTAGCTCACTTTCTTTAGTAACTGATACTACCTCTAATTTCGGAAAACTGATAGTACCTCTAATTTCGGAAAACTTCAAAAGGATTAGATTTGAAAAATAAATACGTTTATGAACAAGTTCAGTTTCATTTTCAATATAATTTTATTTTCAGATTTTACAAAAAGTATTAAAAAAATTATCTTTACACATCAATCTTTTTGGGGGTAGCAATACATGATGGAACTGCAATATGACATATAAAAATACCAGCAATGCTATTTTTTTTTTAACAGTCAGTGAGCAAATAAGTTTCATATTTATAATTTTATACCTACCCATTCCATACAAAAAGGCTTCCCTTAGGCTGAGAATAAATACACACACACACACATCCTCAGGAATCGGGGTATGTAATTTATCATTGTACTGATAAACTACATTAAAAATCAATTTTTTGTTTTGATATTATTTTTGCATCAAATATGAAATAGAATATCCGTAAGACTAAGACAATTACTCAAGCACGAATTAAAAAATAATAATTGTTAAGAAATAAAAACCATTTAAAAATGTGTTGAGAAGATGACTCACTTTTTCTTGCAGCATGCATCATCCGCTTTGTTGGCACTTGATGTGTTTGTAGTTAGTCAAGTTACGTTTGGATGCAAAATTTGTGCATTGGTCACACATGACGTCATAATTAAGTTCATCAGGCACTGTTCTGATCATGCATGCTTGCCTTTACATATCGTACGTAACCCGCTGTGGTAAGTTGTTTGATTTTATAGACACCAGGATTGTAGAAATGTCAATGATAGACTTTTTTTAGTAAGACTTGATGGATAGATGTACATTATATGCCCACACGCTTTTTCTAGAAGGGAAGTCGTTGACGCCTTCCATGGTGAATACGTTACTTTGGAAGGGGATGGGTCAGTTCTAAATGGCGGGGAGTAATCAGGAGTACCAGTGATTGTAAACTCACCTCAATTCCTTCAGCTATCCCAGAATTGAATGGATTTTTTCAAGGGCTCCATCCGTGCTCATCCAAAGGATACAAGAACGTAATCCTTCATACAAAAACCATCCCTTTAGGGATATTGTTGAGTATGTTAGATTACCTGTTCATAGAAATTGGAAAGCATTATTTATATAGGCACAAACATGTGGCTATGGGGGTTACGTTGTAATGCTTATTCTTTAGTGAAATTCTCCTATTCTATGCTATGGAGAATCCATTTTCTATCCTTAATCAATCACCATATTCTTTAGCAAAAGGTGGAGGCTGATGAGGGAATATTGGCTTGTATTCTTTTGTTATGACTTAATGTGATTCAGTTCCGACTCATTGTAGCAATTTCTGTGAAATTTACTCCTCAACACGAACATATGCTTTTCTGGTCCTTTTTATAAAGCAAATAGAAAAACTTTTTTGATCCTATTTATATGTCATCTCATAAATTTTTTAACATGAATGTACTATTTTACCCTTTATTG